CCGAGCTGTCTATTCCCCCCCCGACCTGTCTGTTCCCCCCGTCCCGAACTGTCTATTCCTTCCGCCCTTCTCAAACTCTATATCTCACCGCCCCCAACCCCAAAATGTAGCTGCCCCTGTTGGTCTCTGGGTGGGCGGGGATGCGGGGAGGGTGTCAGTCTTTGCCTGGGCAGGGCAGCGCCTGGTTTGAGCTCAGCACCCTGCCCTGCTGTGGTTTGCATTGTCAGAGTTTACCAGCAGCCAGTGTAACGTTCACCAGGACTCCCTATCATGTCCATCGTCCTGACCACACTTGCCTCTCCTTCCCCCTTTCTTTTCTCCCACTCTCTTCCTCTCCCTGACCCCCTCTTGTTGTCACTATCCAACACTCTCTCACTCTCTCTCCCCCCTCACTCTCTACGTCCTGCCCCACTCCTCCCTCACTCTCTCGCCCTCACTACCACTTCTCTCTGTCCCTCCCCCCTCACTCATTCTCCCTACCTCCCCCCTCCATTACTCACTCTGTCTCACTCACCCCCACTCGCTCACTCTCTTTTTCTCTCTCACTCAGGCTCCCTGTCTCCCCCCTCCTCACTCACTCGCTGTCTCTCTCTCCTACTCGCACTACCCCACTCAGTATCTCTCCCTCCCTCCCTCCCCCCTCATTCGCTGACCCTCCCCCCTCTCTCTCTCACTCTCTGTACCTCCCCCCTCACTCGTTGACCCTCCCTCTCACTCTCACTCACTCTCCGTACCTTCCCCCTCACTCGCTGACCCTCCCTCTCTCTCACTTACTCACTGTCCCTCCGTCCCTTGCAGCTGGAGGTGTTTAACATCCTGTTTGTGACGAGCGAGAACAGCAGTCGGAAATCCTACATAGTGCACTGTGAGGAGTGTGCCCGTCAGCGAACCCCCCCATTGCAGAATGTGGTCATCCTGGAGCAGTATAAGATTGAAGACCTGGTGCAGGTCTATGACCATTTCACTTTGGTGAGTAGCCAGGAGGGGAGGCAGGGTGCAGAGGGACCGCGCCAGCCCCACCCCACCCCCACCCCCACCTCCACCCCAGGGGGCTTTTGGAAGCTGAGAACAGCTTGGCCCTTCCAGGAGATGCCAGGGAGCTGCAGTACTGCCTGGTGCCTCTCAGTGGCAGTAGTCAGCCCAGTGGCTCAGGCCTGCCCCATGGGGTGGCCAGTGGTAATGCAGTCAAGCCCAGTGGCTCAGGCCTGCCCCAAGGGGTGGTCAGTGATAAGGCAGTCAAGCCCAGTGGCTCAGGCCTGCCCCAAGGGGTGGTCAGTGGTAATGCAGCCAAGCCCAGTGGCTCAGGCCTGCCCCATGGGGTGGTCATTGGTAATGCAGTCAAGCTCAGTAGCTCAGGTCTGTCCCATGGGGTGATTGGTGGTAATGCAGGCGTGCAGCCAAGCCCAGTGGCTCAGGCCTGCCCCATGGGGTGATTGGTGGTAATGCAGGCGTGCAGCCAAGCCCAGTAGCTCAGGCCTGCCCCGTGGGGTGATTGGTGGTAATGCAGGTGTGCAGCCAAGCCCAGTGGCTCAGGCCTGCCCCATGGGGTGATTGGTGGTAATGCAGTCAAGCCCAGTGGCTCAGGCCTGCCCCATGGGGTGATTGGTGGTAATGCAGGTGTGCAGTCAAGCCCAATAGCTCACGCCTGCCCCATGGGGTGATTGGTGGTAATGCAGGCAGTGGGAAATGACTTGTGTGATTAAAGAGCCATCTTTAAAGTCACAAAGGGGGCCTCTCAGCTGGGATACCTGTTTAGGCCAGCATTAAGGAGAGATGGTGAGGGTGGCTGAATTTGAAAGGTTTAATTCATTGAGTTTGGTGTTGTTGGGGGCAGTAGGGGTAGGGTTTGGGAGGGGGTTTTGGGATCTTTTAGAGAGTCAGGCCTGTGTGTTAAATCAGTCCATTCCTGTTCCTCTCATAGGCGCCTCAGTCTAGCTCCTCCAGATGACGAGATCTTCAAAAGCCATACCAAATGCTTCTCACTGTTCGAGGTTCCTCTCCAGTCCAATGGCACTGCAACCCTCTGCCCCCGCCAAACACCCCTGCCATGGACTGTCCAACCAGCGACTGGGCTCGCCCAATCACTATGCGGATCTTTGCATCAGCCAATCAACTATGTGTTTACTCAACCTTATCATCAGCAGCTGCAGCTGCTGATTGGCCGCGCAAGGTGGAATAACAAGATGGCCGCCTCCTCAGGTGGAACAACAAAATGGCCGCCCCTCCCCTTCCCCGCATTTGGCGACACCAAGGCGGCCAATTGGCAGTTAATGTTCTCGAACCTCTGTCACTTGACACTGCAGCAAATACCACTTTGGCCTTCGAAGATGGGAAGAGGAAGAGAAAGAAAATGGAATTAAAAATAAACTTTTTCCTATCAAAAAAAATGTAAGCATTAAGAAGTGGTTTTGGATTGCTAAATACGGGTTATAGCAAGAATTATTTTTGTTGTAGCTTCTTGTATGTGTTTCTATGTATGGTGTCACTTTAATTTAGACATACGATCCCACAGTGAAATTTCCACATTTTAAATTATCAATCACATCATCATTCAATTTACCTCCATTTTTTAAAAAGTTTTTTTTCTAATGTACAGTTTTGGTTTTATTTATGAAATTCTCTATTTATTCACTCTAATTGTCTCCCCTAAGGTGTCACATTTTTAAAAATTGTTTTGTTAAGGAAAACGCTTCTAACTACAAGGTTGGTGTGCTAGACTTTTTCTGTCTGTCTCACGCTTTCTCATACTGTCTCTCACTTTCTCTGATTCTTCTGCTCTGTCTCTCTCTCTCTGTCCCTCCTTGTCACATCTATCTTCTCTCCTTTGGCATCTCCCTCCCTTACCCCATTCCCCTAGCCGTGTCTCTCTTCCATCGTTCCCTATCCCTCTATTTCTTATTTTTCCTTGTTATCTGTCTGTCTGTCTCTCTCTCTCTGTCTCTCTCTCTCTCTCTCTCCCTCCTTTTCTTCTGTTCCTCACTGGCCTTGCCTTTATTCCATTCCCAGGTGATTAGGAGCAGCTGAGAACTCAATATGAGTGAGTTTGTTTTCCTGAATTGTGTGCTATTTTAATTCTAATTAAAATTTTGCTCGGGGCTTTTTTAAGAACACGAGGTTACATTTTAAGACGGAGTTGGAGGGTAGTTTTTTTTTGGTTTTTTTTTTGGATTTTATGATGAGAATATTGTTTTGGAGTTGACTGCACTGTTTGAGACAAACTGAGCCAGAACTGTCTTAACTTTGTGAATTTGTGTGACATGAATAATAAAGCTTTTGATAAACTTTATTTCATCCCACGCCCTCACTTTGGGGAGGGTGGGGGGGAGGTGCAAAATGTTTTCCTCAAGTTGAGAGGCTAAGTTTCCAACTGCAGGGGGTCCAGTTGGGTGAGGGGGAGATCAGAATGACGGGCGGGAATGCCACCGGGAAAGGATGGAGTCACAGGCTCAAGGGGCCTGAAGTGTCCAGGGAACCGGGTGGGAAATTTATTTGGAGAAAGGGGAAGCATCAAGATTTTGAGGGTATGGGGATTTAACAGTGAGATTTTGTCGCATGGGCGTTTTTTTTAGCAGCGGCTGGGGTGAGGTCAGGGGCTGTTGGTAGGTTTGGGATGGGGTTGGGTCAGAGTTGGCTGTGAAAAGGCTGACTTGAAGTGGAACACTTACCAATCCCCCACCCCTTTCACTGGAGCAGCTGCTCCCCTGGGCCCTCGCCCCATGACTGAGGTGCGAATTTGGGCCCATTTACCCCATGTTCTTGCTCCACTGGGTCACGAGGTTTGAAGGGCTCAGCTCCTCCATCTCCTCATGCCTCAAACGTTGGGGCCATTCATCCACGGGCAGTCAGTAGAGGTAAGTGGCCTAAATCCGGTGGGGATAGGGGTGGGAGCTGGTATAACCGGACTCTGTGCCTTGGATACAGAGGGGACATTGTTTGGGCTGCTCCTGCTGTGCAGTGATCCCAGCGCATCAATGCTCCCCAGGCTCAAACAGCTTGCTTGGGCTAGAGGGCGGATAAGGTGGGCAATCCCGAGTTTCATGTGAAAAGGCAGGAGCGAGGATGAGGGAGACCTTTTTAGCCTTCGATCGGCTGGTGAAAGGGAAGAGGGTAGTGCCGCCAAACATGATGTTCTCAATCTCGGATTCAAGTTGGGGGTACATTATCCACGTCCACCTCTGTCCCTGTCAACCTGCTCACTTAAAGCAGCACTGTGCCTGAATACGTGACCCTGATGTTCAAATTCTTCAACAAGCTGAAGAACTGATCAGGTGAAACCATTGGATCAGATGCTCCATGAGGCAGGCGGGCAAAGTGGTTTGGTAGACACACAGGAGGCTGGAAGAACATAGCAGGCCAGGCAGCATCTGGAGGAAAGGAGCAGTCAACGTTTTGGGTATTACTCTTCTTCTGCGTCCAGAAAGGTGAAATAGCTTCCTCCTGTGCCTTGACTCTCTGCAAATAACAATCCCGTGACATAGCAGCACTAGCTGAGCTTGCTCTGGTAGGATGACCAAGGTTGGGAATAAAATATTCCAGGGCGTTTGATCTTAAGAAAAAGCGGCCAAAATGGAAGAGGAGATGGTTTATATTTATTATTCAGCTGTGAGCACTGCTGGCTGGCCTAACATTTATTGCCTGTCCCTAGCTGCCATCGATCTTATTGGCTTGCTTGGTGATTTCAGAGGGTAGTTGAGAGTCTCACGTTGCTGTGGGTCTGGAGTCACATGTAGAGGCCAGACCAGGTAAGGATGGCAGTTTCCTTCCCTAAAGGACATTAGTGAACCAGATGGGTTTTTCCCAACAGTCGACAATGGATTCATGGTCATCATTAGATTCTTAATTCTAGATTTTTTTTTGAATTGAATTCAAATTCCAAACCCAAGCACCCAGGACATTAGCTGAGTTTCTGATTAATAGTCTCATGATAATTGCTGTAGGCCATCACCTTCCCAGTGGTCCTAACAACAAAAGATGTGAGAAAGTTCAGAATATCAGGGTTAGCGGAGTTTTAAAAATTGTAATTTCAAGCACTGGTGGTGGCCGTTTATCAGCTCCCTGTTGGTAATCATTATTTTGAGCAAGGAATAGGTCAGAAAGTTAGAGGAGCATGGTACAAGGGTGATGTGATAATTATGGGGATCTTAATCTTCACTTAAAAACTGGCTACACCAAGCTAGCCAAAGAAGCTTGGAGGATGAGATGATGGAAGAGATTTCAGAGAGTTTTCCAGAGTGATATGTTAAAAGAATCAACAAGTAAACAGAATTTTTTTTTAGATCTAACATCTCACAAGGTTAATCAGTAAACCCAAAGTAATGGATCCCCTGGGGAAGAGTGATCACAATATTGAATCTCATGGAGTTTGAAAGTGTGTTGAAATCTGAAACTAGGATTCTTTATTTAAAGTGAATTACAGAGGTATGAGGTAAGTGCTAACGGAGGTCGATTCAGAAAGTATATGAAAATAAGAGACAGTAGAAAGGTGTTTAAAGAAATCATTTATAATTATACACTCCACCAGTACAGCCATGACTAAACAGGCTACTAAGGCTAATGTTACATTAAACGAAGCAGTTTATAATGTTCTCAAGAGGAATTGTCAGCTTGAAGGGCAGCACGGTGACTCAGTGGTTAGCACTGCTGCTTCACAGCGCCAGGGACCCAGGTTCGATTCCACCCTCGGGCAACTGTCTTTGTGGAGTTTGCACATTCTCCCCGTGTCGGTGTGGGTTTCCTCCGGGTGTTCCGGTTTCCTCCCTCAGTCCAAAGATATGCAGGCTAGGTGGAATGGCTATGCTAAATTACCTGTAGTGTTCAGGGATGTAGCTTAGGTGGGTTATAGGGGGATAGGTCTGGGTGGGATGCTGCAAGGGTCAGTTGGGCTGAAGGGCCTGTTCCCACACTGTAGGGATTCTATGAAGTCTTGGGAGAGTTTTATAAATCAGCAAAGGATGATACTGAAAACTAACAGGGGCAGGGGAGGGGAAGACATCAAATGCAGCATAGAAACAGAAGAAGGCCATTTCAGCCCCACAAGCTTGATCGATGTTTCAGTGAGTTTACTTAGCTCTATACTGACCGCTTTACCCCCCCCAACAATCCATTAATAGCTTTGGACAAAAAGCAATCAATCTCTCAGATTTACAATTAACAACTGATCGAAGAATAACTGCCATTTGTGGAAGAGAGTTACAAATGTCTCTCACCCTGTCTGTAGAAATGTTCCTCTATTTCACAGCTAAAGAGTTCAGGCCCTTAATCCTACACTCCTCAGAAACAGTTTCCCTCTATAGGCACTGTCTGTCCTCCTTCATATTGTCGACATTCGATTAAATCATTGCTAAACCTTCTCAATCCCAGGGAACCCTCGTAATCCTAGTGTGTTAATCTCGTTCTCTGTAGTTAAAACCCTCGCAGTTCAGGAACAATTCTGGGAAATCAACACTGTGTTCCTGCTGAAGCCAAGGTATTGTCCCAAAGAATTGATGCCTGGAACTGACTCGCTGTGTAGCGCAAGCAGAGAGTTGGAAGCAGATACTTGGGATAAATGGGGCTTTTTCAAACTGGCAACCTGTGACTAAGGCATACAAATATAAGTGCTAGAAAATGGGATTAGAATAGTTAGATGCTTGTTTTTGACCAATGCAGACTTGTTTGGCCGAAAAATCTTTATCTATGCAGTAGACCTCTGTGACTCTATGACTATGACACGGGCTGGAGCTTCAATCCCACAATTATGGACTTCTCTGTCAACGTAACTCTCTGATCCCTTCAATATCATGTAATCAACATATCTGCTAACCTTAACCTGTCATTAGTTGGATAATTGCAACATGTACTAAACCCACAATATTTTATATAGCACCATTCATGCAACAGAAGTTCCAACGTGCCCCACAAGAGTGTTATATATTTTTAGTTTTAACACTCAGTCAAAAGTATCAGTTAGAGAGGTCGGCTTTAAGGAGCGTCTTGGGAGGAGAGAGAAGAATTCCAAAGCTGGGGCCCAGGCAGCTGATGGCACAGTCAGTGATAGGAATCTGATGGGAATTGGGAGATTTTGGAACAGATTATAGAGGTAGGGAGGGCCATAGAGACTGGTCAGAGTTACACAGACTGGAGTGTCAGGGCTGGTGAGAGTTACAGAGATAGGGAGGGGGTGTCGGAGCTGTGAGAGTTA